AACCAAGAGGCAAGTCCATGTATACTTCCTCGAACAAGTCACCATGCAGAAAGACATTGTTGACATCGAGCTGAATCAAAACCCAATTAAAAGAAGCTGCAAGGGTGAGCAATATTTTAATAGTGACTAGTTTGGCAACCGGAGAAAAAGTCTCAATATATAGTCAAGGCCCTCCTATTGAGTATATCCCTTAGCAACCAGCCTAGCTTTCTATCTCTCGATGGAACCTTCATATTTATGTTTAACCTTATACGCCCATTTACCTCCAATAGAATGTTGACCTAGAGGAAGAGGCACAAAAAATCAAATTCGGTTCAATTCCATAGCCTTCAACTCATCACTCGTAACAGTACGCCAATGAGTAAAGGGAACGACCTGGTGATAAAATTGAGGTTCTAAATGAGAAGATACATTCAGCACAAAGGTTCTATGTGATGGTGACAAATTATGATAAGACAAATATTTGTCTAAGGGATAACATAGAGAGCTACTGGCTAGAGAATTTTGAACGAGACTACAATGTCATTAAGATAAGATGGCCTGTGTGTACGCCTGGATGAACTGCGAACAGGTTGCAGATGTTGCACGGCAGATGGACCAGCAACGTCTGAAACAACAAGAAGCTGATCAACAGAAACAACAGGAACATTAGCAATCGATGTAGGCAGAACAAGAGTAGCAGTCTCAATAGGAGAATTGTCCTTAGTAACAGGAAGCTATGTGGCAGTAGCCTCAACAACAGGAGCAGTGGGCTGAATGGAAGGCTAAAAAACAACATGATGTTCAATATCAGCATGGACATGTTCAATAGAAGAAGAACTAGAAATATGAGCATGAACGTCCTCATTCAAAAGGTCAAGAGACGGTATAGTAGCAGAACTCCCAGAAAAATCATATGACTTTGGCAAGACAATATTAGGAAAAACATCAACATCGGTAGGCTGAGAGAAAACGGTATGAAACAGGAAATAATTCTCATGAAAGACAACATCCCGTGATATGAAAAAATCGCTTATGCTCAATATCATAAAGATTGTAACCTTTCATCCCTGGTGGATAGCCAACAAAAATCGAAGGAAGAGCACGAGGATGAAACTTGGAACCATTAATAGAAGTAGATGCAAAACATAAACACCCAAACAATTTCAAAGAAGAATAATCAGGGGAAAGAAGAATAATCAGCAGGTTCCCCAACAATTGATGAAAGGGAGTATCCCAACCAAGAATATGAGAAGGAGTTCGATTTATCAGGAATAACAAGTCGTAAGACCACATTCACCCAAAAAAATTGACATTTTAATGGGTCCATTTTTATAACAATTGCCTATTTCAAGTTGGGTAAGTTTAGCGTGGGTCAAATAATATGAATTGGGTATGTTTTTAATTTTATAGGTATGTTACTAATGAGGAATGACGACCTTTCAAAAGTTTAAATTAGTTACAAGATCAAAACCGACCGATACGAAAACAGTCAAATCTAGCCAATACATATTCGCTCTTGGAGATATGTATTAAGGAGAGTATTCGTAACTCGCAACAAATCTTGAAAAAAAAAATCAACTAATGTATTAATCTCATCACTTATCAGAGTTTTGCAATTTAGAGAAATAAAAAATTATGGGTTAAAAGTTAAATGGAAACTTTTTCCCCATACTTTAATTAGGCTATCATATTTATCATGCTAGAAATAGTCTAAAACTATTTTTACAATTTTATACTTATGCCTGGAAAGAACAAATGAGAATCTAAAACACTAAACCAAACCCAAAAAGAAAGAAAAAAAAAGAAAAAAGAAAAAAAAAGCTAAAAGAAGAAACTGATTTCTACTTAGAAGAAGCCTTGATCAAAGCTGTGGCGTCAGCCTCTGATGGAAGAGCTGGGATTGCTCCCTTCTTTGTTGTGGTTATGGCTCCACATGCATTTGCAAATCTCAGCACCTCCCTTAGCCTCTTCTCGTCCTGCAACACGTACAATATCGCTCTCAAAACCCGAGCAAACAAAACTAGCAAACAAAACTAACTCTAAGACCTCGTTTGATCGATAACTATAAAAGATATGGTACCGCGAGAATTGATTGATCGTCTACAATCTTGCAAAGAAGGGCGCCAACGAATGAGTCGCCTGCTCCAGTTGTGTCCACTGCTTTGACCTGGAAGGCATCCACCGTGCCACGGAAGTTCTGTATTTTTTGCCAAAGCGAAACGAGAATTAGAAACATAGTCTGCCTCTCTATTTTACTTAGAAGAATACTTTTAATCAGACAAGTGTTTTGGAATTGCGCTGTTTTTCGACAGAGAAACAATGGGCAAAACGTGATAAATAGAATTTTGTAATTGTGTGGACTGTTAAGATGCATTGATGAACTAAGTTCGAACCAAGTTCGAAGAAGTACGTTTTGAAAGTACAGAGATCAAAATGAGCGTACCTTGGTGTAGTATCTGCAGCCCTTCTCACCGAGAGTGACGAGGAGGAGCTTCAAGTTGTCATGCCACAGAGACATGGCGGATTCATCGTCGATCTTGTTGCTCTTGGTGAGGAATTTGAATTATCAGGAAAATGTAATCCGTATTGTAATTGTAAATAGATTTAATAGAAATTAATTTTTCTGCCAAAAAATAAACATATTCGTTGAGTTTTTGTTTTTGTTTTTTCTTTTTGAGATATTTAAATTTCTGGTTTGTCAATAATTGGATTTGGATATAATTTTACGGCACATTTAGTTTCGAAACACAAAAGGAGAGTGAGGATATTTTTAAGATTTAGTTTACATTGTTGACTTTTCAAAAAACTTTTCCAACAGTCAATAATTATTTTCTACAACCTTGTTGGAGTAAAAAATTTAGGGAATTTTGTTTCAAATAACTATCATTTTAAACTAGTTAAACTCGATCGGACGATGAATTTATAAATAGAGACTCTGACCCTAACTTCAGGTATTGCATCTTAGCTCCGTCTTAATATCAAGGTTGAATTAATACAAACTTTTCTTAACCACGAACAATTGTTTCTATAGTTTAAAGTCAACTTATTCAACTCAATAAAATTTAGCATAGCGTGTATGTATATATATATATATATGAAAATTGCATCATATTATTTTTATTTTATGCATTTTTATGTAAACATGTCATTGCTGATTTACTTTATAAATACCTATTGAAATAAAGTAAGATATTCAAACCTTCGTTTTATTAAAATTGTGTCGATATATAGAAGAGCAGAATTAAAATAGCTGGAAAAAATGTAATTTTAAAACTTTCAGTTTAGTCGCTATGTTTGGGTTTAGTTTCAATTTAGCTGCTATAATTTTAAAAGTTTCATTCGGATCTATGTGATCACACAAATCTAAATCATCTCTCATGAGCTTGAAATTTCCACCAATTTAACCTTTTAATGTTTAATTTTAATTGTCAATATCTCAACTCGTTGAATACTTATTTCCAACTAAAAAGTTTTGAGTTCAAATCCAAAATGTTTAATCTCAATTTAAGCTTTGAAATTAAAATTTAAAATTAAGTTGTAAATTATTAAATAAACTTCACACTAACAACTGCTAAATATGTATTTATTTCCTAAAATTTGAGTTTATTTTATTTTTAAATTTAGTTATTAAAAAGTTTGAACGGAGTATGTAATGTTTTAATTGTTTTCCATTCCTTCGCTTATGGTAAATATTAAAATTGGCTAGTGATAAACTTATATAATACATATTTAGTGAATTGGGAGGATTTGAAAAAGGTTAACAGTCAAATATAAGGAAACTTTATGATTCCAACCCAAATAATAGAGACTAAATTGACAAGAAAAAATCTCCAAATTTAGGGGACTAAAATATATACTTAGTCATTTATTTTATAATAAAATTCAATTATCTTTGTAAAACAAAGTTTCAAGATTTCTAAAATATATAGATTATACGTATATCAATCAAAGTTTTAAATATCAATGTCAATAAAAATAACGAGGTCTCAATTTTATGTGTATATCAATGGATATTGTTTTAATTATTATAAAAATAAAAAATTTATAACAAATATTTAAATTAAAAATAAACGTTTTACATTTTAAATAAGTTAAAATTTATTAATAGTAATATTATGTCCATATTAATGATATTTTGTTGATTTTTTTTCGTTATTTTATAAATGTCGATTCACTTTGTTTGATTTTTAATGTTGAAAGAAAGTGAAACTTCATAACAATGAAAAAACCGTTGAATGAATTTAACATCCAGAAATTAAATTCGTGTATTAAGAAAAATATATCATTTTTTTTACATTCCTCTCCTATATTTATAAAAAAATTAATGGTGGTCACTAAGAGATGAGTACTAATGGGTAAGTACGCCAAAGTATTATTCCTTTAACATAGCTTAAATTGTCAAACATTAGTGAGATCCCTTTGTGCATTAAAGATTGAAATCTTCACCCTCTTATTTCTAACGTACTCGATCTAGAAAAAAAACGAGCACTTTAAATGTATGCCAAGAACATTTTGGGTGTCTAAAAATGAAAGGTGACAATCTATTATCAACATTATCACTTAAGAATCCGATTTCAAATGATCATTAATAAAAGAAAAAAGTCTCTTGAGTTAGGAAACCATAAAGTCTCTTCAATTAGGAAACCATCTCCCATGGATTGGGTTTGCATTAAATTTATTGTTTCATCCAAGTTCAAACAGTCCATCATTGAGAGCATCTGTCATCCAGTTATACCTCACATCAATATGTTTCGCTCTCGAATGAAATGTTGAATTCTTACCAAAATTAATAGCACTCTGATTGTCGCAGAATATCGCATACTGTTGTTGCTTGAAGCTGAGCTCCTGTATAAATCGCTTCATCCACAACATCTCCTTACATACCTCTGCTGCTGCAATATATTCTGCCTCAGTCGTAGAAAGTGCAACACACTTCTGTAGTCTTGACTGTCATGAAACTGCACCACCTGCAAATGTCATCAAATATCCGGAAGTAGACTTTCGGTTATCTAAATCTCTTGCCATATCTGAATTAGTGTAACCGGCAAGTACTAGATTTCCACTTCCAAAAGTGAGCTTCAAACTGGAAGTACCCCGTAAATATCTCATAATCCATTTTACTGCCTCCCAATGATGTTTTCCCGGATTGGAAATAAACTGACAAACAACACCAACAGCATAGGGAATATCCGGTCTAGTGCACACCATGGTGTACATCAAACTCCCAACTACTGAAGCATATGAAACTCTGCTCATCTCTTCTTTCTCTTTATCTGTAGAAGGACTCTGCTTGCTGCTCAGTTTGAAGTGATTGGATAGAGGAGAACATACTGCTTTAGCCTTGCTCATGTTGAATCTTTCAAGCAGCTTCTCTATGTAATACTCCTAAAACATATACAATTTCTTGGATGCTCTGTCTCATACTATACGAATTCCAAGAATCTTCTTCGTTGGCCCCAAATCCTTCATGGCAAAGGATTTGCTCAACCGTTTCTTCAACGTGTCAATTCTTGAAATATTCCTGCCAACAATCAAAATTTCGTCAACATAAAGCAACAATATAGTAAAGTCATTATCAGAAAACTTCTGCACAAATACGCAATGATCAGAAGTAGTCTTCTTGAAGCCTTGCTCCCTCATAACTGACTCAAATTTCTTGTACCACTGCCTCGGTACCTGTTCTCATAAAGACTTTTATTCAACTTGCACACAAGATTCTCCTTGCCTTTCTCTTCAAAACCCTCTGGCTGTTCCATAACTACACGTATAGAAGACATCTTCAGAACAGGAGCAAAAATTTCATCAAAGTCAACACTTTTCTTCTTACTAAACCCTTTGACAACTAGTCTCGCTTTTTAACGCGGTCGTGAGGTATGTTCTTCTTGTTTCACTCGATAAACCCACTTATTTTTCAGTGCGGTTTTTCCTCTAGGCAACTTAACAAGGTCAAAAGTGTGGTTTTCATGCAATGATTTCATTTCATCTTTCATTGCATCAATCCACTCTCTTTTGTGTTCATCTTCCAAGGTCTCCTAAAAAATCTTAGGCTCTCCCCCATCAGTCAATAACACATACTCATCAACTAGATACCGTGTGGAAGAACGTCGATTTCTGGTAGATCTTCTAAGTGAAACCTCTGTAGGAACCTCTGCAGGAACCTCATTCTCGGTTTGCGTAGAAGGTTGTGTCAAAGGAACTGAATCCAAGTCAATCAAATCATCAATGTTCTGAAACTTTGTTTTATTTGTCTTCTCAATATCTTCTACAGTTTTGTGTTCAACAAATACAACATTTCGACTTCTCATGAGCTTCTTTTGTACTGGATCATAAAGTTTATAACCGAACTCATCTTGGCCATAGCCAAGGAACACACATGGTCTTGTCTTTGCATGAAGCTTTGATCTCTCATCTTTAGGAACATGTACTAAAGCTTTACATCCAAAGACATGCAGGTGATTATAGGATATCTCCTTATCTGACCAAATTCTGTCCATGACTTCAAAATTCAAAGGAACACATTGCATGAGATTCAAAACATGCGCAACTGTGCTTAATGCTTCACCCCAAAATGATCTTGACAACTGTGACTGTGAAAGCAAACATCTCACTCGCTCAACTAGTGTTCTATTCATCCTCTCAGCTAGCCCATTCAATTGAGGAGTCTTCGGAGTTGTCTTTTGATGTCGAATACCATGACTTCTGCAATATTCGTCAAAAGGTCCACAATACTTGACTCCATAATCGGTCCTGATACACTTCAACTTCCTACTAGTTTCTCTTTCAACAAGAGTATGAAACTGTTTAAACACTTGCAACACTTGATCTTTAGTCTTAAACATATATACCCAAGTTTTCCTCAAATGATCGTCTATAAATGTCACAAAATATGAGGAACCTCCAAGTGTTTTTGTCTTCATAGGACCGCATACATCAGAATATACTAAGTCAAGTATATTTGGCTTCCTCGAGTGTTGAGACACCTTAAAGGAAAATCTAGTTTGTTCCCAGCTAAGCAATGAGCACATCTTTTCAGAGGTGCATTTCTTTATACCAGAAAGATGATTCTTTTTGGCAAAAATCATCAATCCCTTCTCACTAATGTGACTGAGTCTCTTATGTCATAATTCAACACTCTTTTCATCATCCACTATATTTATTACAGAATCAATAATCTTTGCTTGCATTAAATACAGTGAGGTACAGTTCTCTTCCTTAGCTACAATCATTGAGCCTCTAGTAAGCTTCCATTTATCATTGTAGAAGGTATTGCAGAAACCTTCGTCATCAAGCTTACCTGTGGAAATTAAATTCATGTGAATATCAGGGATATGTTTCACATTCTCAGCGTAGTACCATTCTTGGTCTCCAAGTGCACATCACCAATACCAATGGCTTTTGCTGATCCATCATTAACCATCCTAACGCAGCCGAAATCACCAGATATGTAGGATGCAAAGAAATCCCTCATGGATGTAGCATGAATTGACGCGTCACTATCAATCACTCAATTGCTCTGTTGTGTAGCTAGATTAATAACATCACCATCAAATAAG